GTCGCCATCATGTCGCCATAACCTCGCAATCACCTCGCTCCAACAGGCATCGGCACACTGCCCTAGCGCATACCCACCCTCTAGTCCCCTAGTATGCTTTTGAGTCGACTCAAAAGCAGGCCCCTAGCAACATTGCTTTCCCGCGCATACCTTCACTCCTATCCCGCGCATACCCTCACTCTTATCCCGCGCATACCCTCACTCCTATCCCGTGCATACACTCACTTCGACTCCTACAAGATAATACCTTCGTCTTGTAACGGGGAATAAAATCGGGAGCAAGGGGATCATGCCTGGTACGAGCCAAGGACGGGCTCTGAATCTCATAAGCCAACCAATAGAGCAGCACATAAAGCGGCGGTCTACCGTTAGGCGGCTCCAGCGGCGGTTTACCGTTAGATCAATTTAGCCTGCTCGCCTCCCACCCAGCCGAAATCCGATTTGACGACCACGAATGACACGGTGGACGGGCTCGCCGCCTGTCGGCACAAAATGCTGGAAGCACTCGCGCTTCAGCAGCGTGAAGACCAGCGCTGACGTGGAATCTGCCCACAGGAGAGCGACGAGTGCGAGGAGGAGCCACGGAAACGACCCATGGCTGCAGCTGCGATGCTAATGCTAAGAAACGGACTACTAGTTGTTCGCCGTTAGCCTCTGGAATGTAGAATCCAGAATCCAGCCGGGAAGTCCCTGCAGCTGTGGAAGCAGAGAGCCACTCGTTATAAACGCCCCATTATAGTGTCACTGTTGGCTTTGACCAGATACCCCTCTTTGTTTATGCCTGCATTTTTATTGTTCGAAACCATTCATATTTTTAACAAGGTATGTAATTTACGAGGACCATGACCAGCGCTTGTTAAATCACTTTATATATGGCCACAAAAGTTCTCCATACATGATATAACAGAGAAAATCATACAAAGTTCTGGAAATATGCCTCATGTTGGGTTGAGAACAGGGTCGCAGATATCAGACGAAATCAATCTAATGGTCTGAAAATCAGACCTTTTTTTCTCATTCATCTGATTTTTTTACGGGCTAAATTAATTCGTCTGATCGTCCAGATAAGCCATAAGATTTCGTCTGAAAGTACAGACTAAGTGTAGACTTTCGTCTAAAAATTCAGAAAGCGCGGTTTTTTTCGTCTGATACATTCCTCCTCTCCCCAACGCCCCTCCCCCCGTCCCCCACAACCAAGAGTTTTTCCAGCCAAGTCCCTGAGTGCCAGATACATTCCTCCCACACCCCAACACAACCTCCAGTTTTGTGTCTTTGCTAGTTTTTCCGGCATAGTCCTCCAAACCAGAGATACTCCTCCACATACCCCTCGCAGCAATAAAATTTCGGCAAAGTCCCTCACACCAGAGAAATTCCTCTACACACCACGCACAACCCCGAAAATTCGGCTAAGACCCTTATTGTGAGATACATTTCCCCACACACCCCTCAAGCCATGTTTTTCCGATGAAATCCCTCACAGCTAGACCATGAAATTTTTGCTAAAGACCCTCCCACACCCTCCCCCCGTATACCTGCAATGGCGGTGCGTAAAGTGAGGGTTGCTTGTACGTGACACGTCACGTTACGTGCGAGGCCCTGGAACTGTAGGCAGATACAGTACACATGCCCTGGTCAATCTCCCCAGACTCGTGCTAAAATTTCTATGCAAAACGGTTCAATGCGGTTCCGCTTGGTCTGATGCGGGGTCGTGACTGTCAAGGTTCAGGCCCTGTTTTCGAACTTCTTCTCAGACGCGCCTTTTTTAGACAGGCGCGCATCTGTACAGTACGATTTTGACGCGAGTAGATTCGAAGCAGCTGAGAATAGTGATACTGAAACGATTTTAGCTGGACAAGGAACCTTCGAACGCGCTCGTAGGCGGGTCCAAGTCTGGGAAGAAGACGTTCGGAGGAACATGCTCTCAGCAGGACATAAGGAAACAGAAAAATAGATGTCTAAATTGAAAATGGCGAAGTTTCTTGCGGCAATTTTTTCGTCTGAATGTTCAGACTTGCGAGAAAAAAACGACTCAAATCTCAGACTCCTTGAATTTTTTCGTCTGATGGTCAGACGAAACTTTGGAACCCCGTCTGATTTTCAGACAGCCCTAAATCCTAGCTGAAACCTTGGTTGAGAATAGCCTTAGGATCTTCCTTGTAACAGAGTGCTTTATAGCACAGTGGAAGTCTTGAGTTGAACCCTTTTACTGGTATGTGAGAACAAGTGATTGATTGTAGCAAATGGATACAAGGTTTATGCACTTCAAGGGGTACATTCCCTTTTACGACTCAATAAGGGGACTCGGGTAACCACCCGTACTGTAATATCGGGGCGGTTATTTGTCATTGCTGTTGCGCTGACTCTTGACTCTTGCAATTCTGACTGTTGGGTTGCACGGTCAACGATCAACGACCGTTGCCCTTTCGTAACCTCTGCGACGTGTCGTCAACCTATGTCATCCATCGGTGGTACTGTAGCAATGTTGACTCGGTGATCCTTGTTCTTGTAGTCTTCGCGTATTCGTACACTCACGCGAGACTCCAGAAATGTCTTTTAAGTTTCTCTATCATTTCCAATGCCTTCCTTTATTTCTGGAGTGTCAATGTGGTCGAGGTTGCTGACGTGTTGCAGTTTAGTCAGCAGCATGCATGTGAGAGTACGCCTCCGTTACACCACTTGGCCTTTTCCATATTTCATCTTCATTTCATTCCTCTTTTTATCTCACCTCCTTTTGCCTCATATTCCCATTTTCCATTATCCTTTGGTTTCTTCCTTTATTATTATTATATCACCGACCAGGCATGGAATGTTCTAGACACGCTATCTAGCGTAATCCTGCCATAATCTCTTAAAGCCAATAGCCTCGCGTGGCTATACGCAGGGTGATTCTATCTTCTAGAAGGGTCTATTCCCTTAGGATAAGATAAACCTGGTTACTTGATGTACTCTGGAAGTATAAAAGCGCCTTGTACTGATCGATAGTGCAACCTTTCCTCGACACATTCGATCCTGTGACACTTGGTAATCAGAGCTTTTCTCACTCGGCCGCGCTCAGCTAAGCAGCAGCAGCGGGGATCCTGCCTCGAAAAACCGCCGGGGGCGACCAATTCGACGCCGATTCTGGTAAGCACCAGCTCCGCGATTTTCGAATTACCCCCTCCGTGCGTGTTTTGAACAGGATGGCAACCTTCGACACCGCCGAGGTTACCCAGCAGCTCTTCGCGCGCATCGCAGCCCTTCAGGAGGAAATGCGAGCAGATCGCGAAGCGTGGCGAAACCAGTTCGAGCGAGTAACTCGACTCGCCGGAGCGCAGCATGAGACGACAACGGCGACGACGCAGCAGTCGCAGCAGTTTCTCGAGGCTCCGAAACCGCGCCCACCTGAGCCGTTCGATCCGAGCGATCGAAACTCCGACGCCCGCAGATGGATCGCCGGGATGGAGATCTACTTCGCAGCCGTCGGATGGAGCTCGCCAGTCTGGGACGGTCAACGCGTACGACTCGCGGCGACACTAATGCGAGGGCCGGCACTCGAGTGGATTGGCGGCAACAGTACTTTCATCCACGGTGAAGCCACGTGGCAGCAGTTCCGCGCCGACCTGCTGAAACGCTTCGAACCGATAAATTCAAGTTTTCTTGCCCGCGAAAAAATTCATCGACACCGACAGTTCGGGAGTGTATCACAGTACACGCAGCAGATGGAAGAATTTTATAACCGCATTCCCGACCTGACCGAAGGGGAAAAAGTACAATCGTACCTCGCCGGGCTGAAGACCGAAGTCAAACGACAAGTCGCAGCGTCAAACTACGCGAGCTACAGTGACGTCGTTTCGGCCGCGGAGCGCTTCGACATGGTCAACGCCGGAACACGACGGACGCACGTCGGCAGTACGCGACAGGGCGACCGCTCGGCTCACACCACGTTCGCCGACCCGATGGAAGTCGACAGATTCGAGGGGCGACCACGTCCAAAAAACACCAACTACACGTGTGATTTTTGCGGGGTGCCGGGCCACCGAATCTTCGACTGCAACAAAATGAAGGCCGCACGCGCAGAGTATCGGGCACGCAACAGTGGCGGAAATCTTTCGGCCAATCAGAAGACAAAAAACGGGAGTCGCCAGTGATTGCGGATCTAGCTGGCGAAAATAAAAAGATCCGAAAGCGGCCGCGGGATTCCGGAAAAATCAACTTCGACGAAGCTGATTCGACGCGAGCAGGAGAAAATGATGGGGGAAAATCTCCACCCCACGACCAGTCTTCGCCAGGGAAAATCGCCGAGGAAAAATTAGACTCCGCGAAAAAAGACTCTGCCGAGACGGGGAAACTCCTTGAAGACCCAAGAAATTATAAGAATTCGTTAAAGTTATCTTATAAAGATGCTTTAATGAAAACTTATGATGTTCGAGGGGCTAGAGCCTTGGAGAAAATTCGGGAGGGACTCCAAAAGAAGCAGACAGCTGTGGAGATTATACCGGTACCGGACAACTTGGGGACCAAATTAAGGAGTGTGGAAAGAAGCCGACCTTTCCACGGAGTCAACGTCCTCTCCCGACACCAGCCCACAACGACTACCCGCTCCCCAGGGAAGACGTCGGTGGAGCTGAAGCAGCTCAAGAGGAAGCTGGGGGTCTACAAGAAGCTGCACAAACCCCGAACTCCTTCTACGGATGCATCCAGTTCTTCGGCATCAGTGACGCGCACAGTCGTCAAAGAAACTCCGGGCCCTGGGGAAGAGCCGTTCTCCAAGCAGCCTCGGCCAGCTGCCAGCTCAGGAGTAGACAACAACACAAAGGTGTGTACGGAACATTGGGATGTACCCTATGACCCAATCAATGAAACTATCTTTGGGTACTCCGAGCAACGACTGCCCCTCGTGCTCGAGGTCATCTGCAAAGGACGACGCCTCCAAGCACTCGTGGACAGCGGAGCGTCACACACCGTCTGCGACAAGGCAATGATCGACCGACTCCGGGAAGAGTACAAGCCTTCAGGATTCTCTGCAACGATGGTGGACGGCAGCAAGTTACCAGTACACGGCGAAGCAGTGCTACATCTACAAATCGGACCACTGCGCTGGAGACCTGCACTCCCCATCACCAACATCAAAGGGCTTGACTTGATCTTCGGGCGAGACTTCCTGAAAAGATTCAACCCCGAGATCAACTGGGTGAACCGCACCGCAAGCATCTACAACAATGGACGGAGAGTACAGCTACCCAACTGGGACGACACTGGAGATATCCCAGTGGAGACACTCGCACGATTCGAGAAGGATGTGAAGCGGACCGACACCGGGTTCCTGGCGATAGCAACAGAGGTGGAGAATGACGGAGAGAAAGCCTCGGAAACTCCAGAAAAAATCAAGGAATTACTGAAGGAGTTCCAAGACATTCTTCCTGACGATCTTCCGAACGAGCTACCGCCATACCGAACGCATCAACACGAGATCGTGGAGGAACCGGGTTCGAAGCCGACCTTCCGAGCACCATACCGGCTCAGCCCTACGGAGCTGACCGACATGAAGACGCAGATCGAGTATCTCCTAGCCAAAGGACTCATCCGACCATCTACTTCGCCATACGGTGCCCCAGTACTCTTCACACCGAAACCGGACGGAAGCCTGCGCATGTGCATCGACTACCGAGCTCTTAACAAGCAGACCATCAAGAATAAATATCCGATACCGCGAATCGATGACCTGCTTGACCAGCTTCGGGGAGCTACGGTATTTTCCAAACTGGATCTGCGGTCCGGATACTGGCAGATACGGATGGCGGACAACTCTATCCACAAAACTGCTTTTCGAACTCGGTACGGATCGTACGAGTATTTGGTCATGCCGTTCGGACTCACCAACGCGCCGGCAACGTTCCAAGCCGAAATGAACCACATTCTACGACCACTTCTGGACGAATGCGTGGTGGTGTACCTGGACGACATACTCATCTACTCGCGCGACATGAAGCAGCACGTCGAACACCTGCGACGCGTCTTCGAAATTCTTCGACGGGAACGATTCTACGTCAAACTGTCCAAGAGCGAATTCGCCCTGGAGAAAGTCCAATTTCTAGGACACTTGGTGGGCGCTCAAGGAGTTCACGTCGACCCCAAGAAAGTCGAAGCCGTACGTACGTGGAAGACACCCGAGAACGTGAAGGAGTTGCAGCAGTTCCTAGGCTTCGCTAATTACTACAACAGGTTCGTGCCACAGTATGCGAAACTCGCGGCACCACTCACGAATCTGCTGAAGAAGAACACGCCCTACAAATGGGAGACGAAGCACCAGGAAGCCGTGGAGCAGCTGAAACAAGCACTAACGTCCGCACCGGTGCTCATCTTGCCAGATCCCGAACGCGACTACGTAATCGAAGCTGACGCCAGCGACCAGGCAGTGGGAGCAGTCTTGATGCAAGACCAGGGGAATGGACTACAACCAATTGCCTACCTCAGCAAGAAACTGCACGGGGCAGAACTCAACTACCCGATACACGACAAAGAGGCTCTTGCTATCGTCATCGCCTTCAAAGCGTGGAGATGCTATCTCGAAGGACGAAGAACGACCGTCTACACTGACCACTGCAGCCTGAAATATTTGAAGACACAACCCAACCTTTCCAGGCGGCAGGTCCGGTGGATCGACTTCCTCGAGACACACTTCCACTACGACATCGTGTACAAGCCCGGCCACAAGAACAAAGCAGACGCTCTCAGCCGGCCTGCACACGTTGCCGCGATTCAGATCGAAGGGATGAATCCACTACTCAAGGGACTCTTCACCCACGGGTACGCCATCGACCCCGAAATTTCCTTGGCAGAAAAGCGACATCTGCTACAGTGGGACAGTAACATCGCGTACCGGAAAGGATCAACAAAAATCTGGGTACCCAATTACCCTCCTTTGCGCCAGTTACTACTCGAAGAATATCACGACGTCCTCTACGCCGGACACTTCGGTAGCAACAAGACGCTCACCGGTATCGCCAAACACTACTACTGGCCCCATATGGCAGACGACGTCCAGAAATTCGTCACCTCGTGTGATACATGTCAGCGGATGAAGAGCAGCAAGCAGAAAAAGGCGGGACTACTGCAGCCTCTCCCTGTCCCAGAACAACCATGGCAAGTGGTTAGCCTAGATTTCATCACCGGGTTACCACCTACCTCCAGCGGTCATGACGCCATCCTTGTCGTCATTGACAAGTTCTCCAAAATGGGACACTTCATCCCGACACACACGACGGCACGCACCGAGGAGACAGCACAGCTCTTCGTTCGTCACATCATCTCACAGCATGGCATCCCAACCACACTCATTTCCGACCGAGACCCCAAGTTCACCAGCAGGTTCTGGAAGGAACTTATGTCTCTTCTCGGGACCAAACTCGCCATGTCATCCGCATACCATCCGCAGACAGACGGACAGACCGAGCGCCTCAACCAAATTGTTGAGCAACTCCTCCGAGCAGCCTGCAAGGACGACATCTCCAAATGGGACTTGCACCTGCCCGTTCTCGAGTTTGCTTACAACAATGCTACACATGCCGCTACTGGACAGACGCCGTTCTACCTCTGCTACGGACGCCACCCACTCACACCACAAAAACCGACAGCATCACCTACAGTCCAACCCGCACATGATTTCATTACAACCATGCATCAACTTTGGGATCGGACCCATAAGCGCCTCCTTGACATTCAACAGCAACAGAAGCGCCAGGCCGATCGCCATCGCAACGACCACACCATTTCCGTGGGAGACCAGGTTCTCCTTGACACCCGCAACCTGGACATCAGCCACCTCCCATCTAAACTTCGACCTCGCTTCTGCGGGCCTTTTCTCGTTGAAGCACAGGTCACTCCTGTTACCTTCCGCTTACGCCTGCCAGCTACCTGGAAGATTCACAACGCCTTCCACGTCCAACTTCTGAAGCCCTATCGGGACCCGAACACAATTTTCGTCGGACGCCAGCCGCCGCCGCCGCCGCCCGTCCTCGTCCAGAACGAACCCGAGTACGAGGTCGAGTCCGTGCTCGCACACCGCCGTCGTCGGAATGGCACCGTGGAGCTTCTCATCCGTTGGAAGGGTTATGATCCTTCTGAGGACAGCTGGGTCTCTGAGACCGACATGGGTAACGCCCGTCGTCCTCTGCATGACTACCTTGTCAAGCAGGGTGTTACTTCTACCACCCAGCTTTGAGGGGGGGAAGTGTGAGAGTACGCCTCCGTTACACCACTTGGCCTTTTCCATATTTCATCTTCATTTCATTCCTCTTTTTATCTCACCTCCTTTTGCCTCATATTCCCCATTTTCCATTATCCTTTGGTTTCTTCCTTTATTATTATTATATCACCGACCAGGCATGGAATGTTCTAGACACGCTATCTAGCGTAATCCTGCCATAATCTCTTAAAGCCAATAGCCTCGCGTGGCTATACGCAGGGTGATTCTATCTTCTAGAAGGGTCTATTCCCTTAGGATAAGATAAACCTGGTTACTTGATGTACTCTGGAAGTATAAAAGCGCCTTGTACTGATCGATAGTGCAACCTTTCCTCGACACATTCGATCCTGTGACAATGCAGTACTGGAACTTCGACTTGGTCAAGTCATCAGCTTCTTGGTCAAGTATTCGGCTGCCATTTCGGTGGTGGGGTAGTAGACCAATTGGAGACGTCCCTGCTTGATCTCGTCCTTCGTATGGTTGGCGAATTCGTTTTTGTTCACGATTCTGATTGCCGATTGGTTCTCGCAGAAGAGGGAGAAGCTTGGTAACTCGGCAATCTTTGCTTCTTCGAGCAGCTTGCGTAAGTACATTTGTGGTTGTGGGCGATATATTCCTCTTTAGCTGATGAGAGAGCAATCAGTTCGTGTTTACCCGAGTGCTAGGAGATAGTGCTGATAGGTTCCAGATGATAGATGTAGTCGATGCGTGAGCGCTTGTTATCCTTGTCGCCGGCATGGTCGGCGTCGACGTAGCCAATGAGTTTGGTCTTGGTGGTGGCGTTTTTGTGGTAGGTTAGGCCAATTGTCGGAGTCGAGATTAAGTAGTGGAGCGTGCGATCGAGTTTCTGTAGATTCCCCCCTTCAGATCGCTTAAGGTACGTAGCGAGCTGGCTAGTGGCGTATGAGAGATCAGGACGGCAGGTGACGGCAGGTGATATTCCTGAATTCAAGCCGGTCCGAGTAGCGAGGCGGTCGACGCGGGAACTGACGGCGCGTATGCGTACGAAGTAGCGAGAGGTAGCGGGGAGAGATCAAACCGCCGAGCGATGGTCTCGGCGTACTTCGAGGCCGATAGGTGGATGGTGTCGGGGCCTTCCGTGATGTTGAGGCCGAGGTACTACGTCACGGTCAGCGATACGAAGATGGTGAGCTGAAGCTCCAACCCCCCTTCGAACCAGGTGGTGATGGAGATGGTGGAGCCGACGTAGAGAAGGTCGTCTACATAGACTATCAGCAGGACGTAGTCGTCGCTGCGAGAAATACGATACATGCCTTGGTCGTAGGGCAGCTGGGCGAAGCCCATAGCGGTGAGGATTTTGTGCAGGTACTCCTGCTATAGGCGCGGGGCCTGTTTGATCCCGTAGAGGGATTTGACGAGCTGGCACACTAGCGTTGGATCATCGATGTATGTGTGTGGCTGCTCGACAAAGATGTCGGCATCTACGGGGGCGTAGAGGAATGCGGTGGCAACATCAATCTGTCGTAGAGGAAGCCGGCGGGCCGCGGCGATGGCAAGGAGAATACGGAGAGAAGTGTGGCAACTGACCGGAGCGAAGGTTCCGGTCTAGTCACGGTCGTGCTAATGGCCGAAGCCGCGAACCACCCAATGTGCTTAGAATCGTTCGATGGTCCCATCTGCCTTTGTCTTCACTCAGAAGACCCACTTCCCGGAGAGGATTGTCTTCCCCTTGGTCTGAGAAATTGGAATCAGCTTCCAAGTGTTTCTCTCGTGCAGTGCCGTTAATTCACAATCCATTTCCTCCCTCCATTTTCCCAGTGTGGTCCTTGCAGCGTCCGTTTGACTGTCTTTGGCTGCTCAACTGGCGGCAGCGAGGATGTCGGATGTATTGCTGCGACGAGTCCGAGGATTTGCAGGCCAGTCTCGGTGTAGCGGGGGAGTGTCGGATCCTCAGGATAGTCTGCTTTGTCTCCCGCTTTAGGATCAGGTATGAAACCAGGTCTGACTATTTCTAAAACGTTGGTGTCGAGGCTGTGGGGTATTACGTTACCGGTGTCGGCGAAATGGTATTATGCCTCAGCGTTCACGCTTTTGCGAGGGTTTTCTTTGTCCATTTGCATGTCGATTGAGAAGTAAGGGAGTGGTCCTGTAGCTACTGACGCGTTCGGGATGTTCTGCTCGTCTAGGTCAACTTCTTCGTTTGTCGAGGCGAACGTGCTTGCGCCAGCGAAACCACTAGATGGGTCTTGATTTGTGGCGATGTTCTTCAGGTAATGGTTGAGGGTGAGGTTCTCGTAGAAAATCACATCACGTGCCGGTACTGTTTCTTTGTCTTCCACGTCGAAGATTTTCTATGCCTTGTAATGTTTTTCCACTCCGAGGTTTAGACCCCATCTTGCCCGCTGCGAAAATTGTCCAGCTCGTGCAGTGTGTGCTCGGTACTGTACCATGCAACCGAAAACTCGTAACAATTTTGTGCTCCCCTGCTTCCGTGTCCACAGCAAATGCGGTGATGCGTTGTTTGGCTGGGAGCTTGACGACATAAGATTCTGCAGCATGACGGCGTGATTCATCGCTTCCGGCCACTGTAAGCTGGGCAAACGCATCCCTATTAGTAGCTTCCTCTTGGTGTTCTGGAGAGTTCTGTTCATCCTCTCTGCTACACCGTTTTGTTGGTGAGCGTAGGGGAGGGTGACGAGCCTCTTGATTCCTCTCTTAGCAAGGTAGTCCTTGAAGCGTTGTGACTGGTATTCCATCACCCCGACTGACTGAAAGAATTTCAATTTCATATCTCCCTCCCATTCTGCTGCAGCAAGCCATGCGACGAAGGCAGAGAAGTTGAGGTCGCGTGACGGTAGGTTTAGATGCCAGGTGTACCGTATGGCGGCATCGACAAAGGTGATGACGTAGTTGAGGTCAGCCCGGCCGACTTCTCGGGTGATATACAATATATCACTGTATAATTTTTCGAGAGGAGCATACTCCGGTGCGCTTGGGTTGTGATATGACGGGAACGGTTCAGAAGGAAGATCTGGTTCAGGCCAGATAAAGCAGGTGCATCGAGGCCGTAGGAGTTCACGACCATTGAGAAGTAGGAGAGTGTCGTTCTCCAGGATGTTCGCACGAATCGTGTCGAATAGGCGTGAGTTGCTAGGATGTCATAACCTCTATGCCAGATCTCCTCGCTTGCCTTGTGTCCCACAGATCGACGGTACAGGTCCGAGTTGGCGTAGAAGGCGAAAACCGTCGCAGTGCTTCGATTCTGCTCACGAGGATGCGCCTTCAGGTGCTCGACGTCGGTCGGCGGTGGCTCATCAACACGTGGTGTGTTAGGTGGAGCTTCTTCGACGGGTGGCGCCGATGAAGTCCCAGCGATGGGACTTGCAGGGAGTGCCTGTATCGGCGCTTGTTGTTTTGCGGCGTGTTGTGGTGCTGGTGCATTTTCCTCTTCTTCGTGCATCACTGCTAATGCAAGTGTGCTTTCTGCTTCAGGTATCATGTTGGAGTACGAGAAGCCATCACGGTCAAAGCTAGGGTCGAGATCCAGCGGGTGCATCCAAGACGTGAAGGAGATGACGCCATCGTTTGTAAGCGGTCCCGCGGTCTGTAACGAAGTCCAAGACGAAGACTCCGTGCTTATGGAGAGCTCTGCCGATGAAGAGACCGCCCTTCCCTTAGTAGAGACGGAACTCCTGATCGAAGCTGTCACGCTCCAGGTGAATACCCTTCGACATCAGCTGGTTGACGCTTAGTAGATTGTAGCTGAAGTTGTCGACGACGAGTACCCGCGACAACTGTAGTATCACGTTTGTCTCGCTGGATTGTAACTGAACGACCCCTTCTTTTCGAGTGCGCAGGTTCTGGTTGTTGGCGACGGTGATAACGACTTCTCGGCTCAGAGTCTTCTCTTGCTGGACGAAACGTGTCGAAGAACACATGTGCTGACCACAACAGCTATCAAGAAACCAAGTGTCGCGGCCGGACGGTTTGTCGCGAGCTATCGCATCGTAAGCCAGGTTCGGTTGGAGCCAGGTCTGTGTCGGAGCGGGGGTTGTTCGTCGAGATCACAATGAGGTGGAGAGTCACGTGCGCAGAAATCTGGTCGTGCCATGCAGCTAACGACATTTCTTGTGTCTGGTGCAGAGCGGTTCGTTGGAGCTGGTGGGCGTTGCTGAGTTGAAACGGCCGGACTCGGTGACGGACGTGGCGCTTTAGGCTGATACTGCAGGAACTGCGGCTGCTACTGCTGCTGTTGTCTTGGGCAGTTGAAGCACGAGGGTCCTGTCGTGTGACAGAGACGACAGTATGAGGTGAGTGTCGTTTTTGGTTTTGATTGTTGTAGTTGTGCATGTGTGCGTAGAACACAAGTTGCTGACTTGGCTTCATTGCGTGGCGTTCTTCGTACAGGTCCATGTCTTGCTGCTCGGCGTGGAGCTCTGCGCACAAGTGCACCTCGGAGATCCTTCCGTGAGCATGTAGAAGGGAGCGCGTCGTATGCCACTGGGGACTGAGGCCAGCGAGGACGGCCTTAACAAACGAAGTGCCCTCCGCTTTGTAAAAACATGTCTTGTAAGCCTTTGCATCGATAGATGTACGCCATCGCCTTTTCTCCTGGTTGCATCTGAATCGGTAAGTTGTGCCATCAGTCAACTTTGAGTCACGCTGTCGGTTGCTTGGTAGACGCTCTTCAAGTGACAGTATGCGAGTTCGGCCGAGTTGCTGAAGTTGCAAATGCTTTGTTGTTCCGTTGGTGTCAAGTTGCGCAAGAGGATGGTGAAGGCCATCAGCGACTGCTAGGTTTCTTTTCCTTTCTTTTCTTTTCTTGAGTAGTCCTATTTGCAAGAAAAGGCCAGGAGCACGTGAAGAAGCCGAGGATTTGCACGCTGTCCATCAGCAACTCAAACTCGAAGCTCCAAGTGAAGAATTCATTGCTGTTGAATGGTGAGAATGTGTGTAGTTTCACGATGTTGTTGAATTGTTGTTGCATAATGACGATGTCAGATTGTTTGTCTGCTGTCTTCGAATCCACTGCTAGTGTGGGAGTCGGCAGGAAG